GGGGATCTTGGGCACGACTGCGCATGCGCCCAGCATTGAGTTTAAGCCGCTGGGTCCAGGACTCAAACCACAGTCGACTACATGGGAGTCCAGCGACATAGCCATTATGCTAACTGTTGGTCCCATCCTGCATGTTTCTCAGGCTGGTCTGGGATCTGAACCATGTTGCCACATGGCTTCTAGCACTGTAGGGTGTTACCCCATGGAGGCTGGACCTTGAATTCTTTCTTAACCAATTGGAGTCTTGGTTTCCTCATTTACAAAATTGAGATAATCATACTGGCTTTACAGAGCTAATTATAAGGCTGAAATGAGAAAACACAGAAATGGTTGATTTACAGAGGCTTTCCTTTCACCACCCTGTGGACTCATGCTTGTCCCTGTATTCCTCTGCTCATCTCAGTCTCAGGGTATCACAGCAGCATTGCCAGGTATTGTAGTGGCAGACTGTGGGAGTGATCACTTAGAAGCCTTGGACCCTACTAATGGATCCAAGTTCCTGTGTACCTCAATAGCGAGTTCAAGGCATCAGTCTCAGTTCAGGATGGGAGTTGTTTAAACTGGGGTCCCAGTCACCTGAGAAAAACAAGTTATCAAAGAGTAAATATAGAACAGACACCACAGTGCAGGTTGACCCTGTGGCACAGCAATAATGCTAGTGCCCTGCAAGACTGGAAACCATGTTCAGGGCCAGCAGGTGGTGTAGCAGGTAAGGCACTGGGCTCCCATATGGCCAACTGCAGTTCAGATTCCAGACCCAGCAGCTTGAAAACCACGGCAGGCGTGCATGTGTGCATGCATGCCTCAAATCCCAGGAGGAGAATGGAGGAGAAAGGATTGCAGTATAACTATTCCCCCCAAAAGCGTGACTTCTCACTTTCCCTCTCACTTTCTCTCTCTGGTGAGCACATATACCCTGTGCCAAAAGCCTTTTTTTAAAAAAAAGACAAAACCATGTTGACAACTGACCAACCATGCTTTGGATTCTTGGGTTTGGATCTGTCAAAAACATGGTGGATGTGTACACAGGTGCCTGGGATCCTGAGGAGCTGGAGGGCTGGGGAAAGGGGATTGCAGTGTGATGAGGCCCTGTCAAGGGTGCTTTTCTCCCTCCCTGTCTCACTCTGTCACAGACACACACAGGTGCGCACACTCTCTACCATTAAGGAAAAGATTCCAATGGCTTTAGAGGCCTTTGAGCAGAAGAGGAGGAAAAGGTCCTTAGGGTTCTGGGGGCACCTGGACATCGGGTATCAGCCCCAGGAAAGGGTAATGCTCTGACCAGCCATTTGGGCACCAGGTGTTAGCTGATATCTCTCAAGACTTTAGGCAGGGCAGTCGGGGACTGGGCACTTGCCATTCCAGGGTGGAGGCCTGCTCACACAAGGAAGAGGTAGAGAGGCTAGAAGAGAGGTTGTCAGGTGTCTCACTGTGTGTGTGCTGTTACTCACAAGCAGGCCCCTAGATGACCAGGGCCCTGGGAGTGGTGGTAGGGTGTGACCAAGCCCTACTTGCCACACACCACAGATAGTTGGGTGGATGACAAAAGATTGTTTCCTGACAACTGGGATAGAAGGTGTGGGCGGAGGGGAAGTAGGTCACTGGGCCACTTAAACTGAGCCCTGAGCAGGGTTTACCCAGCGCTCACTCCCTCCAGAGGAGGACTGGCCTCCTGGCCCAGGCTCCTGCACATTCATGTACTTCATCAACAAACAGCTATTGCAGGCTGGACCAGGCATCACGGGAACAGGATGACTGGGGGTGTCTTGGTCAGGGACACAGAGTATAAACAAATATGTAAGTGTGACAATCTCTGCAGTGATAAGGGCTAACAGAACAATACAGAGGTGAAGTAAGTAATTAGATGCCTATTTTAGACTGGTCAGGGAAGGTGTCCTTGAAGACGTGAAGATTGAGCTGACATGTATGTGATAAGGAGCCAGTCACATGAAGGTCTGGGGGAAGACTAATCCAACTAGAAGGAGCATCCATTGCAAAGCCCTCAGATGAGAGCAGGCTCAGCAAATTCCAGAAAGTGGAAAATGTCCAGCATGGCTGCAGAGAAGGGGAGGGGATGGGTGACAAGGAGACCAGGTTGGACAGCCAGGAAGTCCACATCACCTGGGGCCTTGAAGACAAGATAAGTGATTGAGACTCGACTCCAGGTGCCATGGAAGGGCCATAGGACAATATGCATGGCGCACCTGGCTTGGTAAGACAGTAGGTGTGAGGGGAATGATCACGATGGTACCTAATATCAGGATTCCCACAGCAGGCTTGGCATATCTTGCTGGCCTTCTCCATGGACCTTGGTGATGGGCCCTAAAACACATGAGTATTTTTCCATGTGCCCATATGGAATTAGGGACATTAGAGGTGTAGTCTTCTACCCCTGTGCCCGCCCCAGGTCCAGCTATGCTAGGATGTGTCTCTTCTTTGCTGAGATGGTAGAATAGGGTTGTGACTTCAAAGGTTTGGGAAAACTGAGGTCATCTTCCATGAAAATACCTATTGCTTGATGTGGAAATCTGTCTTCTGTCTGATGTCTTTGTTTATGTGTAGAAGCCCCATTTGAGGCCTGCCTCACCCCTCTGAGAATGGCAAGCTTAGAGTTCAGGGCTTTAGCCCTCAGTGCTCTGAAGCTCTCTCAATAATGTCTGTTTTTATCTTCAAGCTCAGGTTTGTCACTGGGAGTCCTGGATCTGGAGTTCACAAAACCTAGTCAGTCCAGTTCTATCCCTCACCTGCTGACCTGGAGTCAGTTGGCTAGCCTCCTGGGTGTTACTTTGCTCATCCCTAACATGGGTGTTGACTCACATGGTGTTAGGAATAAATGCATATAAAAGTCTTTGCACATTTTTACACTTAATGTGCATTAAATGTCTATTGAGGATAAAAATGAAGTTTTTCTGTTGTCTAATGGGTTCTCCTAGGCCAGGGTTGTTTTTTGTTTTGTTTTGTTTTTAAGAATTATTTAATTTTGGGACCAGCAAGTGGCGTGGTGGTTAAGGTGCTGGACATTCCCACATGGTCAACCATGATTCGAGTCTCGGAACTGGCGGCTTGCTTTCTCACTTTCTCTCTCTCTCTCTCTCTCTGGTCAAATTAAAATGAATGAATGAATGAAATTAAATAATTTTGCTAATAGGGTGCGTGCGCTTGCCAGAAAGACGGAGAGAGACAGAGTGAAAGAAAGTGAGAAATCACCCCAGGGGGGATGGCCACACCACAATCTCTTCTCCATTCTCCTCTTGGGATCTTGGGCACGCACGCCTATGCGCCTGGCATGAGTTTAAGCCACCGGATATGGGACTCGAACTGCAGTCAACTACGTGGGAGTCCAGTGACATAGGCATTACGCCAACTGCTGGTCCCGAAATTAAATAATTTTTAAGAAATAATTGCTTAATTTTATTTAATATTACTATTATTATTATTATTATTTTATTTTATCAGGTGGAGAGAAAAGGAGAGTGAAAGCAGGCTGCCAGATCCAGGACTTGAACTGTGGTCAGCTATGTGGTAGTGCAGCACCTTCCCCACCATGCCACCTGCTGGCCACTGTTTTTTTTTTTTTGGCGGGGGGGCAGAGGTCACATACCCTCACCAGAGAGAGATGGAGAGGAAGGTGGAGAATGCAACCCCACAGTGGGGCATGGTCATGCTGCAGTCCTTTTTCCATTTCTCCATCCTGTCAGGATTTCTTTTTTTAGTTTTTTGCTATAAGGTATGTGTACTCTCTGAAGAGAAACGAGAGAGAGAAAGAGGGAAGGTAAGAAATCACCTCCTCAGGGGAATGGCCATGCTGCAATCCCTTCTCCTCTATTCTCTTTTTGGATTTTGGGCAAATACACACGCACCTGGAGTGTTTTTCAGTCTGTCCTGTCTGGGACACCCCACAGTTGCCCATGTGACTGGAGTTCTTAACCACCACTCCACTGGCTGGCCTCTTCCTATCCAGATTTGTTTGGGCATGCATGCACACATTCCCAGAGTGTTTCTCTAGCTACCTGGGCTGGAATTTAAACTGTGTGGTCAGCCATGTGGGATCTGGCTCCCTTAGCCACTAGCCTATGGGCCTGGACCCAGGGTTGTTTTTTGTTGTCATTATTGTTTTAAGTTTATTTCATTTCTTTCTCCCATGAACGAGAGACAGAGACAGGTACTTCCAACAGGTTTCATTCTATCATCCTCCCTGGCCAGCCCTGGATCTTGGTTACATGTACACCTGGCATGTTCAGGGAGGTCTCCAGATGTCAGCCTTGAATCTTCACTTATGGGTCAGCCTTACAGAGTATTGTGTTACTGCTGTGCCACCATCTGACCCCATGTGCCAGGGTTTTATCTTGGGGTCATTGGCTGATCCTCAAGGAGTCTGAACTATCTGAAATTATTTGCAAGGTTGGAGAATCTCTTCCTCTGTGTAAATTTACTGGGAGAGGGTTACAGTTTTTGAGACATTCTTAGAGGGTTTTGCACCTACAGAGACCTAAGGGTCAGCAAAGGCTGTGCTCAGTGGGAGAGAGGCCATCGAGGTCTTTTCTGCTCCTCGGGACCCTGGCCTCAGTCAGCTTACGGACTGTTGGGGTGAAGCGGGAGATGTCGTGGCCAGCGGCCCTCTCAGAAGACCTGTAGGAGAAACCGTCATAATGAAGGTCAGTCCCTATGCAGTATGAGGCTGCCTCTGAGCCTTGGCACTTTATTTCTTTCCAGGCAGTTATTTCCATAGTAAATGTGTCAGAAACAAAGTCAGGGCTTGCTGGCCATCCTGGGGAACATCTCTCCAGCCTGACTGGGCCCCCTCCCCTGTTTGCATGGGGATGGGAGGGGAGTTGTGCATGCTGCTGAGTTGTTTTTTTTGTTTTTGTTTTTGTTTTTTGCTTAAAGGCTATGTGTGCTCGCTAGAGAGAGACAGAGACAGAGCGAGGGAAAGTGAGAAATCACCCCCTGAGGGGCTGGACATGCCACAACCCTTTCTCCTCTGTTCTCCCCTCAGGATTCTGAGCATGCACGCACACATGGCCTGTGTGGTTTTCAAGCCATCAGGTCCAGGACTCGAACTGTGCGGCCAGCCATGTGGGATTCAGCCACCTTAATCAACACGTCATCACCTGGCTCATTGTTGCTTTTTTTATACTCAGGAATTCCTAACCATGACTTGGAAACTTTGTGGGAGATTTGGAGGCTTTATAAGATTGGAGTTAGGATATAAATTCTCTAGTTTGTTGTGCCACGTTCTGTGCTAGAAGAGGGGGTGGTAGGAGGGTGGGTGGGAATAACCTCACTGGAACCCAGTCAGCTGAGAGCAGTGATGCTGGTACATGGGGGAGAGAAAGGGGCTGTACACGGGATGGGGATCAACATTTAGTTTGGGAAGGAGTCCCCAAATAGGTACAGTCTGAACGATGACTTGGAGGAAGAACAGGACGTGACTATGCAGATGAGGGGAGGGAGTGCATCCTGGCGGTGGGACTCACTTGTGCAATAAACACTGGTGAGTGATAACTCAGCAAATTCATGCGTGTGTATGTGTGTGTGTGTGTGTGTGTGAGTGAGAAGCTGAACCAAGGTAGGAGAGACTATCTAGAGAAATGGGGACAAGTTTGTATGGCTACCTGAGGAGCGTAGGGGACTCGACCTTTAACCTAAAGGTGAGGGAGTTATAGGGGAGGGATATGGCCAGCTGCTGTGTGGTTCATAGCTCAGGACACAGTTAACAGAAAGAAAGCAGCGGCTTTAGCAAGAGTACCCAGCATCACTACTGGTGTGCTAGAGGGACTGGGGAAAAACCCTCCCACATCACTGAACCTCATTTTCCTCACCTAGAGAGTGGGATGCCAGTGAGATCTGGCCTCATGGCTGTTGTGATCATTACATGGAAATAAACACATGAAGCTCAAGCTAGCCTGGAGTGAAGTAGGTATTGACTTCAGGGGCCCCTCTTGGCATCTTTAAAGCAAAGACCTCAGTCCACATAGATTTTGTTTGGTTGGCCAGCTCCCACAGTTTGGTGCCCTACCAACTGTGCCACAGAAGCTGGGTCAATTCACACAGGGTTTTTGTTTGATTGATTTTAATTGCTAGAGGGCATGTGTATCAGTAAGAGAGAGAGAGAACAACCACCCCAGCAGGTATTGTCATGCTCCAGTCCCTTCTCCATTTCTTTATCCTGTCAGGATTTGCAGCTCACATATACATGCACCATACACATGCACCTGGCGTTTTTCAAGTTGCTGGGGCCAGGATTTGAGCTGCTCAGTTGGCTATGTGGAATCTAGCTCCCTTTACCATTTGGCCACAGGGCCAGCTAGCCTGTATTTTTTTATTTTTTCCTTTTTTAAAAAGAATTATTTCCTTTATTTATTATTATTATTTAATTTGACCATATCAAGACACATACACACAGAGAAAGTGAGAAAGCAAGCTGCCAGGTCCAGGATTTGAACCGTGGTCAACCATGTGGAAGTCCAGTGCCTTTAACCACCACACCAACTGCTGGCCTCTAATCCACATAGTTTTAAAGATTCTTCTCATACTTTCTGGGAGCCCCTGAACTGTCGTGTTTCTCATTGAGCTCACTCTGCCCTTGCCTCAGCAGACTAAAGGGTCCTTCTGTCCTGTTATCCCTTCACCCCATTTCCCGCCACTGCTTTAGCCAGATAGTTTCTGTATTTGAAAGTTATCATTACTATTGACAATATTGAAAAAGGAAAAAGCAAAAATAAAAAATTCAGCCCACTGTCCCAACACATGGTGGCATTTGTGTTTAGATCAACCTCTAGCCTTAGTTGTCCTTCCCCTCGACCTCCAGCTTCCCTGTTCTCTTGTCTTTTCCTGCCCCCAGGCATTTGCTAAAGCTGTTTCTTTAGAATGGTATACTTTTTAAAACCTGTATTTATTTCATGAAAGAGGAAGAGACAGAAGGATAGGCACCCTTAACAGAGTCACACCACCCTCTGATCATCCCACACCAGCTTCTAAATCAGCCAGAATCACAGATGTGCTTTGTTGCACCTGGTGTGTTAAGGTTGGCCCAGGATTTGAACTCCCAGCCTTATGTGTTGCTTCAGCATTGCAGAGAGGCTCACTTCTACCTGTGTCACTGCAGCTAGGCCTGGCACACTCTTTTCAAGACTTCCCCCTAGGGCTGCCCAACCTCTACCTCCTCACCCCCCAACTCGAGAGCTCTTGGGGACTGGGTACAGCATCTCAAGTGATGGCACAGGTCGGGGCACATTAAGTGAGCTAATAAGAAAGTTCATACAAAGCGGGAGGGCAGCGATGCAGGGCAAGGGAGGGGCCACCTCGGGTATTCTGCGTGAGTATAGCCACGTTCTGACCTCTTGGGAGTGTGACCATGACAGCAGCTATGACTAGACATTGGTCCTATGCTTTCCCACTGGTTGATTTGTTTCTTGGCAGAGTGTAAACTGGGACACACCTTATGTTCCTTTGTGGCAGGCATGGCCGGATCCAAGCTTTCTCCTCTGCTCATTTTAGACTTTCCTGGACATTTCTTAGTCATCACAGTCCTGAGCTTCTATTTTTAGTGTCACTACCTCCCAGGGGACCTAAAATAAAGCTGGCTTAGCTTCCCAGCTCCTCATTGGCTAGAGTGTTGGTCACAGGCTGGGGATTGGCTGTGTCGTCATTGTTCCTCCAGCTCCTCTGGCCTTGGGTGAGGTCACAGGGACTGGAGCGAGCTAACATTGACCATTTTGAACTGAGTCCTTTACCACATTACCTTAGTGAAGCTTCACATTCACCAACATCAGTTTCCACCCCCATCTTACAGATGAAGAGACCAACACCCTGAGAAAGGTCATGGCTTGCATCAGATTCTACCACTGGTAATAGTTGTCTGTTGGGGTCAAACCCACCTCCCTACTGCTTTGGTTCAGAGTCCTATTTTCAGGGCAGAAAGAGTGGGCTTCTTCATAGTCATAGACAACTACAGAACAACATGTAGGCTTGTAGTCATGAAATACACAGTGAGGTGTGGGCCAGAATAACTCATCTGGGGCTTTGGTTTTCTATCAGCATCCTTGAATCTACAGTCTCCAGCTGGAAAGGGGGCTCCCCTCTCCCATCAGTGACCCAAGAGAGAGAGATCCTTGGCATGAAGGCAATGCTGAGCTAGGGAGACATGAAGAGATGACTTATTTCCCCCTTATAGCCGCCATTTCCCCTCCCCCTTCAGTTATTACACTCATCTTTTGAGGTGGTATCCCTAGCTCCGAAGTGGGTAGGAGACACCCGTATCAATGAAGAAATGCCCTAGTAGAAAGGGCCAGGTCAGCTATCACCTGACCTCAGAGATGTAGAGTTCCTCTTTAGACTAAGAAGGTTACTTTCTTCTATCAAAAACAGGGCCTTAAGGAGCCGTCCCCCTTCTCCAACCCCATTTCGCCGAGTCTTTTCCACCTGGGAACAAAGCCTTGGCACAGTGCTGGGAACCTGAGGACTATAACTTGAAGCACTCCACACACAGACATCAGTAGTTCCTGGTCTGTGAAGTGGGGAAAATAGCAGCAACTCTCTCCTTACAGAATGTTGAAAGAATTAAATGAAAAGATGGCATAATGCCTATGTTGCTGGACTCCCATGTAGTTGACTGCAATTTGAGTCCCAGACCCGGTGGCTTAAACTTGCGCCAGGTGCGTGTGCGTGCGTGCCCACAATCCTGAGAGGAGAATGAAGGAGAAGTGATTGCAGTGTGGCTATCCCCCCTCTGGGGGTGATTTCTCGCTTTCTGTCTCTCCATCTCTCTCTGTCTTTCTGGCAAGCGCATGCGTCCTATAGCAAAAACCTCTCCAAAAAAGAATTAAATGAAAAGATATAAGGCAAGTGCTTAGTTCATCCTTCAACATTCCTCCTCTTATTAGGGACCTTCCTTTGTCCTGGCTCCATCTTCAGTACCCATCTTGTGTGCTCCATCAGCCTGACATTCCACTGTCTCATCAACTAGGAACTCCTCAGAAGAGCTGTGTCTGGTCCAGTTCTGGGCTCCCAGCACTGATCTGGTTTGAGAGGGGTGTCCTGTCAAATTTCTAGGGCCTCCGCATGTTCCCCGAGAGAACAGACCTTGGGAATGGACTCCCTGCTCAAGGAGGCCAGGGAGGTTTGTGGGTCAGCGGCTGGCCACCACTTGCTGCTGTGGTACCAATGTTTCCCTCCTTGTCTTCTCATTGGTCATACAGGTCTCATCGAGGCTGGGTGACACTCCAGAATGGGAGACAAGCCAATTTGGGAGCAGATTGGATCCAGCTTCATTCAACATTACTACCAGTTATTTGATAACGACAGAACCCAACTAGGCGCAATTTATGTAAGTCTCCAGCACTAGGGACAGAATAGGACCCCCGGCAATCAATTGAGATGTTGGGCCAATGTGCCCAGTTCACAAATTCTGGCAGCATTTTACTGAGTTTCTAACTGTGGTACAAGGGGCTTGAATCTTAGTCCTACTGAATGGTCTGCACATACCTTCTGTCATCTTCTACAAGGGGATATTGGTATTCTGGGCAGACTTCTTGGCTTGCCATTCCATGTGGCCATCACTCTGACCAAGTGTGTGGTGCCAGGAGTACCTCTGTTCCAGATTAGGCAGCAGCACTCAGCCTAGGGCTCATGGTGCCCTCTGGAGGCAGCAGCCCTGAGCATCTTCAGTGCAAAGCTGAAGTCTTCTTGAAGCCCCAGCTTCCTATTGGGCCCAAAAGCCCATGAATGCTCAGTAGCGAGCAAAGGATGTTAGCCCAGGGAGTGGTGTGTCCTTTGAGAAACTGTCCTACATAAGCAGTATTTGCTGCTATTTCAGTCATGTCCATACACACCAAGAGCTATTTATACTTGAATCCTGTCTAAGATACGGTCATAGAAGTATGATTGACCAGGCCTCTGCCTAGCAGGTCTGCCCAGGATTGGGGTTTCTAGGAGCCATCCAGGGATAGAGCCTAGCTCCGAGCCTGACTAGGCTGTGTGCAGTCCCTTGCATGTGTCTCCAAAAAGTCAGAGTCCATTAGAAATTTAGGGAAAAAATAAAGGAATCTTAAAGTAGAAAACCAAATCCAACACAGATATTATTTGTTGTTATAATAGGGAGGGAATTGGAAAAAACAAAACCTTGAATTGTTCTGACTCTGGGATCCTGGCACTTCTGCCTCATTGTCTCTTAATTAAACCAGGCCTGACCTAGAAAAAAGAGTTAGCAAGGTCCGAAAAGATCACCTTATATATGTTATTTCATAATCCTCAGCCTAGTTCCCCTTTGAAGATTAGGAAATTTAAAACTCAGAAGTGAGTAACTTGCTGGTAAGTAGCAGAAGCCCTTATGAGTTCTATCCCTGGAGCTGTGGAAGGGAAGATTGGGAAGGGCGAGCATATGTAGGATTTTGTCTGTTGGTGGTAGGGAGGGTCCAAGACTAGGCTTAGGGAGCCCTTAGCAGCTTCAATCCCTCTTGACTCCGTGGGTGTCCAGAAGGCAAGTTGGAAGGGCCACAGTAGAGCTCGTCCTGGGCCTTGCAAGTGATGATGAATATGGGATGTCCTATTATTTCTGTTGAATTGTCTGGGGCTGGCGCTGACTGACTATGCAGTAGGATGGCTTTGACTGACCTTCCTAAGGCCCATGTGTAGCAGAGGTCATGTGACTTCTCAAATACTAATGGGAAATGAACTTAATAAATGTACTTTGTTAAATAATCTCTCAGAGCCTGGACCCATGGGATAAAGGGTACAGTTAAAGAGGTTGATAAGAAATTTGGGGAGCTACTATCAGTACTCTTTTCAGACAGGGAAACTGAAGCACGTATTCATTTTCATAGCATGACTCTATTTGGGGCCTTAGAGATAGACTTTGTTCTCTGAAGCACTGACCCAGAGTTTCCTATGAATTTTTTAGATTGACGCATCATGCCTTACGTGGGAAGGACAACAGTTCCAGGGAAAAGCCGCCATTGTGGAGAAATTGTCTGTAAGTAAGGGCCAGAGCTGGGGTACAAGTGGCTCCTTCCTGGTCCCTTCTGAACTGATAGCCCACTGCCCACTGTTTATCTTACAGAGCCTTCCGTTCCAGAAAATCCAGCACAGCATCACGGCACAGGACCATCAGCCCACGCCAGATAGCTGCATCATTAGCATGGTTGTGGGCCAGCTCAAGGTAATAGCGTTGCTGTAGTACTAGGAGGGGTTGCCCTGGGTTCCTGCTTTCCCTGTGGCTATAACGTGCTTAGAAGGGACACCTAGACAAAGTGACTGTCTAGAGCTACCCAGTCACTTAGCCACATGTGCCAGTTTCTAAATCATAGTTAAAATTAACTATGAGACTAGCAGGTGGCATAATGGTTATGTCACTGGGCGCCCACATAGTTGACCACAGTTTGAGTCCCGGACCCAGTGGTTTGAAATTCACACCAGGCGCATCTGTGTACATGTGTGCCCAAAATCCCAAATCCCAAGAGGAGATTGGAAGAGAAGAATGTGTCATGGCCATCCCCCCGGGTGATGATTTCTCGCTTTTTGTCTCTCTGTCTCTGGTGAGCGCACGTGCTCTATAGCAAAATATCTCTAAATTTTTTTTTAAAATTAAATAACTATAAAAACTTAGTTCTTCAGTTGTACCAGCCATATTTCAAGTTCTTGTCTCAGTCATTATCTGGCTACCTATTGGACATTGCAGACACAGAGAATTTCTGTGATTGTAGAAAGTTCTATTGGAGAACACTAGAGCCTTTTTTATAAGGGAGAAGTATAGGAGTGGGATTGGGCTGTGGTGCCAAGCTGCTGGACCCTGCCCTGCCCTGAGATGGAAGTGGATAGGCCAGCAGATAGCTGAGAGGCAATCCCCCTCCTGGAGTTACACTGCTTTTCCCTGAGCTAGCTGCTGGCTCTTCACCTGCTAAACAAAGCAGATTCCTGGAACTCCTGTTTCTCTTTGCATTTTCCCTCCCCATCTCAAGACCAGTCATCCTCAAAGCCTTTCTGTGACCTCTTAGATCCCCCAAAACTCTTGGGGGAACTTGTGCTCCAGCAGACTAAAGCCAGATTCTATTTCAAAAATCCCTTCCTTCTTTCCAAAGCAGGACTGATTAGCTGCCCCTTGGCCAGATCCCAGCCTCCTGGGCTTGTGTTATGATGGGGTTCACAGACATAGGCGCACATGCTTCCTCCCTAGGCTAGCTGGGGCAGAGCTTCCTAAGTCTGATACGGGAATGAAGAGAGAGGGGCCCCTTGGCCTTTCTGCAGTGGACCCAGAGGGACCGGCCTTCTGGCCTGCGCTTTGCTGTTAATTTCTCCTGTCTGCGTCCACATAGGCCTTTAAGATTGAGGAGGTCTCTCCAGGGATCTTAGAGCCCACTTCGTCAGGCTGAGTAATAAGGAGTACCCCTTCCTACCTGGTTTCATGTTCTTTCTGATGTTTTTATCCAATTCAGAGCCCCAAAATGACTGATTTGCCTCCTGACAAACCAGGTGATAAAGCTGGGCTCCTGTTTCAACTAAGACTCATCCTGCAGTTTGACTGGAGGTTTCTTTTCTTTCTTTTTTTCATTGCAAATGTTATTTATTACATGACATCTGATGATGCTGGTTTATTTTTCCCCCTCCTCTGTAGAGCTGTAACCACATTGTGAACTCAGTTTTGAGCTGTTTCTCACTTACCTGGCCACAGTCAGTATTGTCAGTAGTTTCTCCTGATAGGACTTTTATCACTAAATACTAAGATTGTTTACAGATTTTTGATACTTTTCAGAATCGTGATCACTCAAGTCCAGAGCCATGGGCTCAGAGGCAAGTATGTCCTCTGTCTCATTGCTGTAGCTGACTGTTAAATCGTTCTGCAGTTGAAGAGCACGTAGCAGTGTGAGTCGCCATTTGTGAGCCTCTGTATGCCCAGTGCAGTGTTTCAGTTCACATTCACAAGTACCCTTTGGCCATAGTGAGATAGTCCAGGACAGTAAGGTCTGATTGCAAAGACCACATTCTTTGCCTTGTTCCTCCACCACTGAATTCCCTCCCAATTCCTTCTCCCCTTTACTAAATCTTTTTTTTCTCTTTTCGCAGGCCGATGAAGACCCCATCATGGGGTTCCACCAGATGTTCCTATTAAAGAACATCAACGATGCTTGGGTTTGCACCAATGACATGTTCAGGCTTGCCCTGCACAACTTCGGCTGACCTCCTCTTAGCCAGGCACTCACGCTGTTTCCTTCTCCCTCCTCTTCCCGATACTATTCACACTCCTCCAGATGCTCCAAATATCATACACAAATGAGCAGGGCCGCGGTGGGAGTGGGCGCAGTGCGCTGCTGCCACTGGGGGGTTGTGCATGATGTTTGGACGCTAGACTAGTTGCATCTGACAGGAGAAGTTTGTGTTGTACCAGCGCATGCCTTGGAAAGACTTAAGTAATGAAAAGGTTGTCCTTTATTTTTTTTTTCTTTAATAATGCAAATGTTTTTTTTTTTTTTTTTTTTTTTTTTTTTTAATCTACTGACAAGTTGCTCTAGTAACCCAAAGAAGTGAAGGAGAAAGCAGCTGCCTCACCGCCCAGATATTGATTTGTTCAGATGTTTCAATGCCTCATGATACAATAAAACCACGAAAATTTTCTTAACAGTTTAAATTGTTTTAATTAGTTTAATAGTTGGCTGGGCATCAATAATTACCCTGCCTCTTTGTCTCTCTCATGTCTTACCTTCCCACCTCTGCCCCAATTCAGCAATACCTGCTGCAAGGAGAAAACTGCTAAAGCAGCCCTCCCAGCTAGTTTCGATCAGAAGCCCTATAGGGCAGAGTCATTTTCTCCAACCTTCCTGGTCTTGGGAAGAGCCCAGCTCTGGTCTCTGCAGTCAGTTCTAAGACCTGTGCCCTCGGCTCTTGGCACGTTCAAGGTTCTAATAGTAGTAGGAGAAATTACCTTGAATCTTATTGAAGTTGGAACAGCCTTGGCAAAAATGGCTCATCAAGTTGCCCTCTGGGCTGAGGTCTCATCAAGACTAAGGGAGGGGTCTGCTCTGTCCCCAGAAGGGTCAGGATCACATCCAGGGTTCCTCTTAGACTCCAAGCCAAGCAGAGAGCAGCTCGGATCCTGTACCGCATGCTTCCAATACTGCCCAAAGGCCAGTGCCCAGAATAGCCAGCTTCCATTGCCCACAGATTAAGGTTTGGTTGGGTTGGAGTATATATTTAGAGCTATGGAAGAAGGCAGTTTGCGTTTGAGTGCAGAGATTCATGCTGTAGGAGTACTCATCCCTCAGATCTCTGCAGGACATTTCCAGGCCTCCTCCCTCTATTTCCTTCCTCACACAATCTTCAAATCCCAGGAAGTCTTAGCTATTTATGCTCCTCAGTTTGGGAAACATTTGGCATTGCCAGTATAAATATAGCTCCTCAGCTCTGAGACCTCTGGATGGCGTACCTGGTGACAGGGTAGCAACTGCAGGCTATTGCCAAACCCAGACTTTGGGCTAATGCCCTTAGGTGTGAGGATCAATGAGGCTACCACTGCTAAGGCTGAGCTGTAAACTGATAGCCTTCCCTCCTCCGCTGCTATGGGTGGAGGCTAAGGGCTTTCTCAGACCCCACACAATGCCTGGCTACACTGGGCACAGAGCTGGATGGTGTGCCATTTACAGGACAGCATACTCAGGAGATTCCAGGGTGATTGATCTTGGCTGTTGTGTTTTTGGGGGAGTAGGGATGGGGGAGAGGTAGATAAACCTCTTAAACCACCCTGTATAAAATCTGCAATACAGCTTCTTCCATGTACCTGTGCCTGAATTGTCTGCAATAAAGAGGTGTTTGTAAACTATGGTTTCTTTCTTCCTACCTGGGGGCGCGTGGTGGGACAAGGGAGTGCTGTGGGACTGTAGGGAACAGTGATTGTGATCACTGGTGATATTATCTCTGCCCTTGCAATTCCTGAGTTATGACCTCATGGGTCCCCTCAGACCTTGGGTTACTCCGACCGATTTCTTGAAGAGGAAACTGACGCTTTTGCTAATTAGGCATATTTCCGGGGATCTAGAAAGGCGCATCCTAGGCTCAAGAGTTGATCTTGTTCTAGGACCATCATCAAATCCATGCTCTAGGAGCGAGCATGGACCGGGCGGAAACTCCCGAGACCAGTAGAGCTTAGGGCGGTTCAATACGTGGACACTGCGCCCTGCCTCAGCAGATCTATGGAACTCACCTGAACCCGCTGACAAGCGGGGCCTCAGAGGAACAAGGACTGGGAGTATAGTGGCGTCCGCTCCGAGGCCGGAACCTTTCTTCTCCGGCCCTCGAAGGTTCCGGGAACCGAGACTCGTGGGGGCCGGAAGTGGAGGCGGTTGGTGGGGTTGGCGGGGCTAAGGGACGCAACGCGGCTGGCGGTTTGCGAGCAGCGGGTGGACCGAGGGTAGTGACTGGC